AATAATAATAATAATAATAATAATAATAATAATAATAATAGGATATAACCCATGCATAGGATTGTTCTGTTGGTAGTTCCTATGTGCAGAAGCATGGTTCAACAGGCTAAAGAACAGTAGACAGATGAAAAACAGCTATGCCATGTAGTCTGTCATAAGAACAGAAGATAATCACTTCTAACTTTTCATCCCCAACTGCAGATAATTTCTGAATAAGCTGGAAAGCACTGGTCTCAGTACACACTTGGGAGTCCCTGGATGAAAATTTAACAACTTATTCCTCCCATCTACTTTTCATTCTTTCTTCAATGAATTTCCTATTACCTTATTTCCTTTTTAGTGATTTTTTCCCTTTTACTTTATGACTCTTAGCTCAAAGGTCTTTGGTGAAGAACTTCATCAAAAGCCTTTTGGAAGTCCCAATAAACAGTGTTTAGTAAACCACTTATGTCCACATTTTTAATGACCCTCTTAAAGAAGTTAGGTAAATGGGAGTTGTCTTTGCTGAAGACATGATACGTTTTCAGCAGGAATTGTTTTCCTATATGTTTGATAATTTTATGGAATTTACCTTTTTCATGGCAGCTGAATATTGGGACAATATTTTCATCAAGTCATCTGGCACAACCCTAAGAACTCTTTCTTGATTAATTGCCACCTACTCAAATCCCATCAGTGTATACATGGTTGTTTTTTTTTTAAAAGTCCCAATGTGCATCATCTTCACTTGTTTATTCCTCTCACTTGGAGAGATCCTGCTTGAATGTTTTACAATCTGTTTTCAATCTTACCCCTCTGAACATTCTGAGATGTGTTCTTATTCTCCAAAGCCATTAATTAAAGTTTAGAGTTCAGGCATAATGCCAACCTGCAATTAATTTACAATGGAAGTGGAACCTTCCAATCTCCTCCTTGCAGCCATGCCAGGGGAGCAAGGTTGGCTGCAGTTCATCCTTGTAACTCTAACTCATGGTCTGGAATTACATGTGACCCCTTAATTGACAAATATGCATGTGTATACAAATAAAAGACAACAACAATAAGGAAAGAACAAGAGATCAATTTCACAAGATCCAAGAAATCAAAGGAAAATTGAAACCCAAGGATTGGGACAATCTATGACAATAAAAATAGCATAATTCAAGACCAGGAAAGAATAAAAAGACTTTGGATGCAATACA